GTTACATTTTTTTTTTTTTTCATAATTTATTTATTTTTTGGGTGTGCTGGATCTTCCTTGCTGCGCGGACTTTCCCAGTTGTGTATGAGCAGGAAAGTGAAAAGGTGAAAGTGAAAGCTGCTCAGTCGTGTCCGACTCTTTGTCCACGGAATTCTTCAGGCCAGAATACTGGAGTGGGTACACTATCCATTCTTCAGAGGATCTTCCCAACCCAGGAATTAAACCATGGTCTCCTGCATTGCAGGTGGGTTCTTTACCAACTGCGCCATCAGGGAAGCCCTGAACAAGCAGGGCTTGTGTCAACTCTTTATTTGGCCGCCAGGGAAGCCCCTACATGTTTCTTATTATAATGTATTTTGCATGCAATTTCCAAGAATTAAATGAAATTACTCAATAACTCACCTTCCTTTTTGATAACAAGGTGTCAACAAATAAAACCCAGCTTAGCTTTTGAATAACATATACTGCTGGTTATCTTAATTAAAAAAAGTTTAGATTTAAGACATCTTTCCTTATATCCCCAAATGCAATTATAAGGCACTATAATTGTATCAGACATTGTAGTAAGTACAGAATCAATATCATTAACAAAGCCACAGTGGGGCTATGTGGACAGATTCCATTTATCCTCTCATCAGCTTCTTAAAGATTCAACCTCTCAGTCTCTGTGGTTGTCCTGCCATTCTGGACAGGTGACAAGGCTACTGACTGCCTAAGTTTTCCAGAACATTCTGATGTAGGCCAGGCCCAGCTAGAACAGAGCAGAATGGCAAACTCTTCATAACATAAAAATAACAGATTCTTTGAATGACATTAGCACCCTGGGCTTCCCTTGTAGCTCAGTCGGTAAAGAATCTGCCTGCAGTGCAGGAGACCCGGCTTCGATCCCTGGGTTGGGAAGATGCCCTGGAGAAGGAAATGGCAGCCCACTCCAATACACTTGCCTGGAAAATCTCATGGACACAGGAGCCTGGTGGGCTGCAGTCCATGGGGTCACAAAGAGTCAGGCACGACTGAGCAACTAACAGTTCCTTACGGAACAACACCTTTAGCACATGATAAAATTGAGCAAGCTGTTTTTCTCAAGTGCAGACCATGAGAATGAGGAAGAGGAAACTTATCTCTGAAGAGAGAATAATCTCACATACTAGACATGTACCAGCGGCTGGGCAGATAGCTGATCAGAGGAGTAATTTAGAAGAGAAAGTTACATGGGAATTAGAGTCAAAAACTAGGATTCAAATGTCAAATTAACCACTTTTTAGTGCTTTGAGCCTGAAGAAGTCTCCCATCTTCTAAGCAGCGATTCCTTCACCAGTAAAATTTGATTAATAAAACCAATTGTGAAGATAATTTTTGAGAATTAAATAATAATATGTCTGATAAGTGTTTACTATAGGGCTTATACGTAGTAGATGATAAAAATTTTGAGATAAATCCTGAAAGCATCATGTTAAATTTTTAAAAGTGGTTTACATGTCATATGGACTTTTATTGTCCTTTTTAATTTTTCCATTTTTTTCTGAATATCTGCAGATGACAAAGGACATGCACCAAATGCAAGGTAAAGACAAATAATCAAGCAATTTTTTTATTTTTATGAGTTTTTATGAGAAAAGATGAAAAGGTAAAGGATACACACCCTGTCTTACTGCGTGAATTGCGTGCGATCTCTGTATCCAACTCTGTGCAACCCTAGGGACTGTAGCGGCCCAGGCTCTTCTGTCCATAGGATTCTCCAGGCAAGAATATTGGAGAAGGTTGCCATTTCTTCCTCCAAGGGATCTTCCTGACCCAGGGATCGAATCTGCATCTCTTATGTCTCCTGCACTGGTGGGTGGGTTCTTTACCACTAGCACCACCTGGAAAGCCCTATGCCATGGTACGTAAGTACTAAATCTACCATTGACCTAATTTATTATCTTGTTAAAAATTATACACCATCACGTACTTGGCAATCAAAATCTATAGTTTTTATTTTGAGAAAAGATACCACTGATGTACAGGTCCTCACAGAAAATCAATTTGCATTTGTACCGTCCTGCTTCAGCGGTAGGTGATAGCGCCCCCTACTGACCAATAGTGTAGAGGAAAACTTGCACATCTGGTCACACCTCTAAAAGCTACTAAGAACTTATCTTGTGGGCCTATAGGTGGGAAGACATATAGACAGATAAACACATAAATGCAAGTACACACACAAAACCGCTATCTGCATGTATGCACATGCTAGAAAGTTCTCACTTTCACTCCTGCCCCACATGCATAGGCTTGACAAATGCTGAGTATATGGAGAACCAGTTGATGCAACTGAACAATATCCTCTTTTTATATACAGCAGGAGTACAATCTAGGTGGACTAATGCAGGTATTTAATAATAGCTACATTAATCTCCATGCCAGGCACCAAGACAGTATTTATTTATTTATAAGTTATTTATGTTTAATGCTTAAAGTTTTGAATGCACAATCTAATATTATAGAAGTACTAGAGGTCAATACAATGCATTAGAACTATGTACAATGCACAGGTTCATATCAAAACCTATCTACTCTGTAGAGTTTTACAAAACTATCAAACACAAAGCACTTAAGACACCATTTTTTTCCCATCTGCTACATTAGGAACGTCAATGGGCAGATCATTTCAACTTGCAGCATTCACCCATTTCTAGTATGAAGTTAAGTAATTTTCTACTTATGTAATAAAGGTTATCTACACCATTTTCTTGATTTTGATTCATTGCAGCAAAGGCACTATACATCAGCAGATCCAGATAGTATTTTAATTTCATCGTTATGAGGCACTCAGGAATCAGCAATGCCTGCATTGAGTTTAACGATTGTTTCATAGTGTATTACTAGTTCTGTATCAGACTCCTTAATTCATTGAACTATTCAGTTGATGTTCATTAGATGTCTACTCTGGGCCAGGCAATAATGCTAAGTGCCAACTATGCAGCAATGAGTCAACCAAGCAAAATCTCTTCCTTCATGGAGATTACATTCTAGTGGGGAGATATGAATGTTCCCATGAAGTCACACCCAGACTCTGAATATTTCCGATAAGTAAAAGTGAGCATTCATCATTTTTTTAATGAAGTTTGGAAATGTGAGTTTTTATTCTCTTATGATTGCCTAGACACTATAGCAGACCTGTTTTTAGTAAGCATGTGGCTCTATTTTAGTTTCTTGTTGATATTTTTTAATGGGTCAAAAAATGCTTATGATTTTTTGATAATAGATACCTTATGAATATCAGATGTTGTGAAATAAAAATGTGAAATTAGTGGTGCTCACGATATGTAACTTAGTGGGAGATGTGTGTGTGTGTAGGAGAACTTATTGCTATTTCTTTAAGACCTTGATCTTTTTCCAGTCTCCCAAAATATCTATCAGTAAATTTACCATTCTCCTCATTTGCAGGAAGTTACAGAGAAACACTAAATAAAGCATGCTTTGAAAAATCCTCATAAGCTTTAAAAGAGCAAGAAAGATCATCAAAACAAAAATACCTGTATACAGACCTAAGTGGGGTTCATGTTTAAGGTTACCTTCTGTTAAAACTCTGTTTTTAAGTTACTCAGAGTAAATTTTTGAAGCCAAAAGATAGCCTTTTCAAGAGTGATATGTGAGCATGTTTCTAAGTGAAAATTTGACCAAGGAAGGCAGCTGCTTTACCATTTAGCTCCAGGCTGTATTGATTACGCTGGGCTGAAAAGTGACGCTACCCATGCCCAAGTGCAGGGGACACATGTGATCCAGAGTCTCAGCTACTCTTCATGTTACTAATATCAGCACAGTAAGAAATGAGTGGCTTTAACCATTACTATCTCTCCTTATAATAGGGGTTTGTTGAGGTTTTACCCTATAGAATGTGTCCAAGTAGTAAGGAGCAGAGATTGCATTTAGCTAATACACTTTTAAGGATTCTCTCTCATGCCTCTATAAAAATGACCATGAGAGGAAAATGAAACTACCAAAGAGAATATTTGAACCAGGTTATGACCAAGTAGTACAGAAGGACAAACACTGGTCAGGTCCAGTGAAGGTAGTTGGAATGTAAACTGTTCCCTGGGCTACTCAGGTGGCGCAACAGTAAAGAATTCGCCTGCCAGTTCAGGAGATGTTAGAGATGTGCGTTAGATCCCTGGGTCAGGAAGATCCCCTGGAGAAAGAAATGGCAACATGAAGAAAGAAAGAAAGAATTTGCCTGGAGGATCCCACGGACAGAGGAGCCTGGCCTGCTACAGTCCATAGCGTCACGACACGTGACATAGAGTCAGACACGACTGAAGTGACTCGCATGCATACAAAAAAGATGGTATCTAGAAGGATAGCCCTGATGTATCTATTTGCAGGGCAACAATGGAGACGCAGACAGAGAGAACAGACTTATGTACATGCGGGCAGGAGTCGGGAATAGGAGGGAGAGGGTGGGATGAAAGGAGAGAGTAGCATGGAAATACATCCACCGGCATATGTAAAATAGATAGCCAGCAGGAGTTTGCTGTGTGAATCAGGGAACTCAAACCCAGGCTCTCTGACAACCTGGAGGGGTCGGATGGGGTCGGAGGTGGGAAGGGAGGCTCAAGAGGGAGTGAACATCTGTATACCTACGACTGATCCATGTTGATGTATGCAGCTCGTTTTTAACGCTAAATACCCTTCCTGCTATTATCCACACATTTCTTTTCTTCTTCCCTCTGCTGTTAGTATTCTCGGTTAGTAGGAGGGAAATGATTCCAAACTATTTGCAGCCACCTTCTCTGCTCGCTTTCTCACTTATTTAGTGGCTTCAGTTGTGTCTGACTCTGGACCCTATGGACCATGGCCTGCCAGGCTCCTCTGTCCGTGGGATTCTCCAGCCAAGAATACTGGAGTGGGCTGCCATTCGCTTCTCCAGCTACCGTCTTTAAGTAAGGTAAAATTCAATAGATAAAAGCAAGTTCTTTCTCAGCCTTCAAGAGACTTAGTGCTAAAGAATAATGCTTAACATAATTGCCATGCAGTTATTCCACTTCTTTTTTTCTTATTTGCAGAAAACTACGGCAATCATGAATTTAATCATATATTTACATTTGTAAAAGTCTGAAATGGTCTTGTAGACAATTTGTAGAATTCTGTATCTTTTCAAGTGTCCGTGTTGATAGTTGGTCTTCTGGAGGAGGAAACAGAGAGCTTTCATAGCCCCAACCACTCAGTTTGGAAGCTTCTTCACACTCTGAGACTTAGAACTCACGAAGAGAAACAGAGGGAAAATTAGAAGTTTGGACCTTGGGGTGTCAGCTTGACTACTTCCTTGTATTCTCACCTGGGTAGGTATAAGAAGTTATTCTCCTTAATTGTAATCTTTAAAAAAAAATTATTGGAGTATGGTTGCTTTACAATGTTGTGTTAGTTACTATACAGCAAGGAGAGTCAACCACATGTATACATATATACCCTCTTCCTTGGATTTCTTTCCCATTTAGATCATCACAGAATATTGAATAGAGTTCTCTGTGCTATGCAGCAGATTCATATTAGTTATCTATTTTATATATAGTATCAATAGTGTAGTCTTAATTTAAAATGCTTCTCAGAAATTACAAAATTAATAGTGTGCTTGACAAAACTGCTATGTTATCTTTCTCTTGAGTTACTTTTCAAACTTCAATTTCGGGGAGTGAAGACTATATTCATTTACTATATTCATTATATCATTATATATTCATATATCCACCTATATATATTAGTGAATATATTCACTATATTCATATTCATTATACCTTTAACAAATAACCACAAATTAAGTGACTTAAAAATACACACATTTATTATCTTATTCTGCAGGTCACAAGGCCAACACAGTTCTCACTGTGCCAAAATCAAGATGTGAGCAACCTCTAGGGGAAAATTCATTTCCTGCTCTTTCCGGCCTCTAAAGCTGCCTGCGTTCTTTGGTTGGTGCTTTTTCCTCCCACTTCGAAACCAGCAACATGGTATCTGACAGTGCATCTGTTGTCACATCTCTGCCTCTGACTCTCCTCTTCTTCCACTTTTAAGAGCCTTTGTGATGACATTAGAGCCACCCACATAGTCTAGGAAAATCTCCTTAATTTAAGCAGCTGATTAACAGCCTTAATTTTACTGCAACTTCAGTTCCCCCTTTGTCATGTAACCTAATTCACAGGTTTGGGCGCATTAGGACATCCAATGGGAGAATATTTTTCAGATGCCACTATTTTGCCCACTGCAGCGACAGTAGGTGAGAATTACTTAAGTAAGTGTGATAATATAAAGTCAGTTGATAAATCCACTTAGGAAAACTTGAATTAAAGTTTTAACTTCACTTCCAGATTATGGGATGATTTAATAGCTCATTTTAAATAGCATGCAGACATGCTTTTAATAATATTCCCTAGAAATTTACTTAAAAAATTTTGAGACTATAATTGATTTTTAAGTTTCTTTTTCTGTCTCACAAATAAGCATATATAAAGATAACAATGTTTAATAACAGAAAATCTCCTGTTCTGCCCTTCTCCCTTTAGCTTCTTCCAATGTATATAGACTCTGATGAAGAAAAACAATAGGTTTATGGAAGGAAAGAACATTTCCTTCAACAAGCAAACAAAGAAAAATGGGATAGAGAAAAGGTAGGTTGGAAAGTATACTTTGTAAATCAAAGTTTGGGCCTGGTAGAGTCTCAGTTACAAGCTTTTATTTATCATTCATTACTCTGTCATGGTTCAAAGTTTTATTTGCAATTTTTGTGAATAATAATCCCTCATTTTCTTCAATCACAATTTACAAGGCAAAGTGCTAGATTCCAGGATTATAAAATGGAATAAGGGTGACGGCATAAGGACATATAATTTCAGTGCAGTAAGGGAAGTGTGGTAAGACAGATATTTGTGGGTTACTAGGGGAGCAATAAGAAATTGTATCTAACACATCCTAGAGAAGGATAGCAAAGACAGATTCAGGAATAACTTCTGAGCAGATAAATGCCTGAGCTGAGTACTAAAGCATAAGAACGTATGGCTGGAAGTGGACACATGTTCTATGCTCATGGAACACCATGAAGGGGAATGTGAAGAAGCCCCTAGTGTACCTGGAGTTCCAAGCCTCTCCTTGTCCCCATGATCAGCTTCTCTCCATTCTTCAAGATACACCTCACAACCCATCCCCTCTGGGATATCGTCTCTAACCAGCTTTACATAATCAAACCTCATTACCATAGCACCCTGTTTACTTCTTTAGTGGTATTTATAACAATCTTTAATTATGCTAATTCATATGTTCAACGTTTCGCTTCTTTTTTCCCCTCACTATAATCTAAACCCTACCAGATACTCTCTCATCAGCGCATTTTTCTAAAGTTTTTCATTAATGAAGTATCTGCAGTGATTTTAATGATACTTTCTGGTAAGGTTCAACCTTATTCTTCCTTGTATTTCAGCTGCCCATGAACTGCAAGAAATCAGAGTGGAACTGGAATAAACCCAGAAAAATGTGGAACTTACACATGGTCATCCCAATGCAGCAGTGTCCCCACAGAAGATGAGTTCCTGGGATTTGGACAAGAGAGAATAGACAAGCTTGGAAATGTCATCCTTTCTCATGACTTTAGAGTAACCAAAATGATTTTTAACAGCATTAATTTTTAGCCTTTAAGTAAATATCTTTCTGATATTTTATTTCGTAATGCAGAACAGTGTATTAAAAAAATTGAAACCACCACATTGCTTGACTCCATAAGCAATACATTTGAAAGCATTTATTTCATGGCTACCCGAATATATATATGCTGTTTTCTTTTACAGATCTACTTTTTTTTCTCTCAAAGGACTTTTGAAAAATCACTTCACAATGTCACGTTGAGAGGTAGGTTCCGGTTGTTAGGTAAAGCATATTATCTGGATAAGTAACTAAATTCATACTGTACCACAGCTTGAGAATCTTCAAAACTATATCTTTGAATGTGAAAATCTATTCTCTCTGATTTTTGTAGAAAACAGTCAGATGTGTATCTTTTAATTTAGAGTTCTACCAAATCACTGGTTATATTAATAACTAAGACACACACACACACACACACACACACACAGATACTCACACACATGTTTTCTTAGGCTGGAACATGTTGCCTAAGACTAGAGTTTTTATTTTTCATTCTTTCCAGCATCTGGTAGCTTAGAATCATACACACAGCAAGTATATAAAACACACTCAATGAAGACTCAACCATAATGTCCCACTAGGTTCACAATCCAGCATCTAAATTTATTTTTTAGGTAAAATAAAATGCTTCCTAAACCTAACTTTACATGAGAGACATTTTCTTTTCACTCTTTTTATTTAGAAAAAAATTTGATAACATTTATATGTAAGAAGCATATATCTTAAACAGACCTTCTTTTGATTAAAAGGGAAACAATAACTCCTTTTATCTTAATACGATGACTTGTCTGCATTAGGTCTAAGAAAGAAAAAACAAACAAACACACAATTATGTTTATTTCCAGTGGGACTGGACAAAATCAGAATGATGGAGCATCTAAGCCAAAAACAGTAAACTTCTTAATCAAGATTATCCCTTAAGACTACAGAAAGACTGAGAGGACATTTCATTTGTATTCTCTTCTTCCCACATCCCCGCACCATGATTGGTATTATAACTGATCTTCAATTACTAATGTTATTATTGATTTTCAGTGATGAAACTTAATCATTAGTTGTCTTACAAATTGCCATTAGTTCCCTTGCTATATTTAATTTTTAAAATTCTTTTCAGTATAATGAATATTTACTTTATTCTTCCTATCACAGCCTTTTCAGATTTACTTCTTTGAAATATTCTCATCTGTAAGTAGCATCCTAGTTATAACATTAACTGTTATGAATGTTTTCTATCTTGGAACTGTACATATTTATTTCTGTTACAAGATATAACATAAAAAGAACTTTAAAAGAGGTAGAAGTTTTATGAAAGCAATCTCATTATTATTTAATAGTGCTCCCATAAATGTATATAGTATCCCTAAAATATTTATCTGTTTTTTAAAATTTTATCACACCTGATAAATCAACATGGGTTCCATAAGAAATATTTCAAGATGACCTGAAATTTAATGAGTTAGTAAACTGGGTTCAAAGCTCAAGAAACCCATGAAATGTTATCAGAAACACTTAACTTTTGAATTTGAAAGTCTTGGAAGAGAATGAATTTTATGACAAAAAAAATTAAAATAGAATGCAGTTATAAACATGAGTTTTCATTTGACTTATTTTTATCACCTCAAATCCATACTGTCATTCCACACTTCTTTAAAGCACTGATAGCATCAGAGCAAATTAAACAAGATGATGGCTGGCTGATGTCATTTGAACAAATGATTTTTGTTAATAAAATATCAGCTATCATTATACATTGTGATTTAGAGGAAATATAAAAATATAACTCCTACTGGTTGTAACATTAATTGCTTAAAATCTTGTCACTGCAAAACTTTTATACACTGTAGAATTTTTAGTTTATACAACTAAATTTTATAGTGATACACCCCTAACATTTAGACCATTATTTAAAATAATTATGTGCTCTTTATAGAAGAATGACTTTGTCTCTAGAAGACAAATGGATAACTCAACCATAAATATGGTGTATATTTTTCTTTCATGATTCTTGTAGATAGCCAAGGTTCAGGGAATGAATATAGTGGAAAAGTGTCTTAGAAATATGACTGAAAATACAAAATTTTTCAAGATATTTTTAAGACTTAAAACACTACACCTGATTGCATATCTATTCATTCCACACTCATCTATTAAGTTAATATTGGCTATCCTCTAGGGATACTTTAGTTAATAAAATGTTCTTTTTATTTTTACCCTTTCTGTTTGTTACCTGTTTAAGAGTACAGGTAGAAACTTTCTGTGAAACATATTTTGAAATAGTCTCTAAAAGTCTGGTATTGTGTTTTGTAAAGTTATTCTTACAGCTGTTTCTCTCCCCTCAAATGAGCACCTAGTTACTTGAAAAGATTTAACTACGATAACAATGAACCTCTCAGTTTTTACAGTTTTAAGCCATTTCCCACAAATTTCTGGAACATTAAAAAATATTTTCAAAATGCACATCTCAAAATTTAAAGTATATGGTATTTCATATAGGATTCTTTGTTTTTTATAAGTAATTTTATTGCTGTTTTTTACAACACGTTGACATAGTACTGTTTGCTAATAATTTATTTGAAAGGATGCCTTGTAACGTGGTAAAAGGTGACATGGTGACATTTTAACAGATTTTCCTTGTGTTTTTACCTCATTAAGAGGTTTTTTTGTGTCTGTAGTACAGTTGATTATAACACTGGAATAATCATAGGTTTGATTTCTGTGTGGGTTGCATGGTATAAGCCCCTCATTGGCCTTTAATTGAAGCTACTAATTATCTTTCAAATACTAAAGACAAGATGTTGGATTGGTATCTTAAACCTTGAAAGCCTACTAAAAACAGATGCTGGAGTTATGATGGCCACTATCAAGTTTATATATATTTATAAAGTACCCTATCATTAATATGAATGTCTTAATAAACATTTAAATGTCACAATGGTGTTTCAAATTTTATGCCTGTTTTGTTTTCTCATCAATAAAGTTGGATGTGTTAATGCCAGCTTAATGATAAAGTTTGTTCTCAGAGTTAATATTTATAACTAAGTACCTAAGTATAGGAGTAGTTAAGTCTAGAGCCTGAATAATTTAAATGGTTGAAGCTTAGAGAACATCCATGGACAAAATGACATTTAAGGGAAAATCTCAAGATAGGGCATATCTTTAAATAAAACAACTGAATCATTTTTAAAGCATAATATGTCTATATGCATTTTCAAAAATTATCCACTATTTCATAATAGAGAAATCAGGAAATTTTAGCACACAATACAAACTTTCGCAGCCTTGAAAAAAGAAACATAAAATTGGAGAAAAGATTTTCACTATTTACAAAATGTGAACGATATTTTGCTTTAAAAAGTAATGATAATAAATATTGTGATATGACAGTGCATAACTATATCAAAACAGAATACCATAGTTTCCTCAAGTTATATGGGATGAGTTACAAAAAAAAAATGGTATTTCTGTAACACAGAGAGATGCAAAAACCAGGATTTTGCATGAAAAAAACACAGTCCCAGCTCACTTGTTTGAATTAAGGGAGGGGGCACAGGATAAATATGCCTTCAGAAAAATTACAGAATCATAGAATCTGAATCATAATAAACTTCAAATGACATCTAATTCGTTGACCTTCTTTATTTCTGAATCCTTCTCATAACTTCCCAGCCTATTGGCCATTTAAACTTTGTCCACATGTCCTTATGATGGAAGAAAATAGCTGAATAGTGCTAAGGAGAAAGTTCAAAGTCTCTGTGGAAAAAAAAAATGATCGTATCTATTTTTATCAGGTCCATGTTATAAATTGTGATATTCCAGCTGCATAGCAAAGAACTCACTACCTGCTCACACACACACACGCACACACACACACAAAGACAATGTTCCTGAGATGTTTGAGCACAAGGAAAGAGGTAATTGCCTATGGGCGGGAACATCTGATCTCATAAAGCATTTTGTAAGGAGATACTAGAGGATCTTGAAAGGTATTTTAAGGCCATGTTAATTTATGAGATATATTCTTGGACTTTATTTTTATATCAATCATTCATTAATAAAATCACTGCTTTCAGTGTGGAGTCATAGCTTTTAACCAATCTTATCTTATTCGTTATTTGGATAAAGAAGATAATCTGAGGAAATGTCAGAAAGCAACACAAGAAAAGGAAAACTAGTTTGAGTCCTCAGTTATATTCCTCTGCCTTTTAATATGCATTAACAAATTTCCTACAAATTATCTTAATATATTTATTTTTGTTCTATGTGAATATTTACTTTCTCGATGTTGGGATCTTTTTTTTTTTCATTTATTTTTATTAGTTGGAGGCTAATTACTTTACAATATTGTAGTGGTTTTTGCCATAATTTGACATGAATCAGCCATGAATTTACATGTGTTACCCATCCTGATCCCCCCCTCCCGCCTCCCTCCCCATCCCATCCCTCTGGGTCTTCCCAGTGCACCAGCCCTGAGCACTTGTCTCATGCATCCAACCTGGGCTGGTGATCTGTTTCACCCTTGATA